CCAGGACCGGGATCAGCACTGGGACCAGGATCAGCACCGGGACCGGCTCCGGGATCGGGACAGGGACCGGCACCAGGACCGGCATCGGTACCGGCACCGGGATCGGGACCAGCATTGGTACCGGGATCGGCATGGGGACCGGCATCGGTACCGGCACCAGGATCGGGACGGGGACCGGCACCAGGACCAGGATCGGGATCGGAACCGGGATCGGCACCGGCACCAGGACCGGGATCGGCACCGGGACCGCGATCAGGACCGGGATCAGGATCGGCACCGGTATCGGTACCGGCAACAGGACCGGGATCGGGATCAGGATCGGGACCGGGATCGGTACCAGGACCGGGATCAGCACTGGGACCAGGATCAGCACCGGGACCGGCTCCGGGACCGGGATCGGTACCGGGATCGGGTCCGGGATCGGCATCGGAATCGGCATCGGGATCGGTACCGGCACCGGGATCGGTACCAGGATCGGTACCGGCACCGGGATCGGTACCAGGATCGGCACCGGGATCGGGATCGGTACCAGGATCGGTACCAGCACTGGGATCGGTACCGGGACCGGCCCCGGGAACGCCCCCGGTAGCCCCCAGACCCACCTTGACACACTCCACGTACACCGGGTTCAGGCTCTCGCCCCCCAACCGCGCCGGTACCAGCAGGACGAGCCCGCGGTGCTGCTCCGGTTCCGGTTCCGGTTCCGGTTCCGGTGCTCCCGGTGTTCCGTGTCCCGCTGTTCCCGGTATTCCCGGTGTTCCGTGTCCCGCTGTTCCCGGTGTTCCCGGTATTCTCGGTATTCCCGGTGTTCCGTGTCCCGCTGTTCCCGCTGTTCCCGGTATTCCCGGTGTTCCGTGTCCCGCTGTTCCCGCTGTTCCCGGTGTTCCCGGTATTCCCGGTATTCTCGGTGTTCCCGGTGTTCCGTGTCCCGCTGTTCCCGGTATTCCCGGTGTTCCGTGTCCTGCTATTCCCGGTGTTTTCGGTATTCCCGGTGTTCCGTGTCCCGCTATTCCCGGTGTTTTCGGTGTTCCCTGTGTTCCGTGTCCCGCTATTCCCGGTGTTTTCGGTGTTCCCGGTGTTTCCGGTATTCTTGATGTTCCGTGTCCCGGTGTTATTCCCGGTTTTTCCGGTATTCCCAGTGTTCCGTGTCCCGGTGTTCCCGGTGTTCCATGTTCCGGTATTCCCGGTTTTTCCGGTGTTATTCCCGGTGTTCCGTGTCCCGGTGTTCTGTATCCCGGTTTTTCCGGTATTCCCGGTGTCATTCCCGGTGTCATTCCCGGTGTCATTCCCGGTGTCATTCCCGGTGTTATTCCCGGTGTCATTCCCGGTGTCATTCCCGGTGCCATTCCCGGTGTTCCCGGTGTTATTTCCGGTATTCCCGGTGCCATTCCGGGTGTTCCCGGTATTCCCGGTGCCATTCCCGGTGTTCCCGGTGTCATTCCCGGTGTCATTCCCGGTGCCATTCCCGGTGTTCCCGGTGTTATTCCCGGTGCCATTCCCGGTGTTCCCGGTGTCATTCCCGGTGCCATTCCCGGTGTTCTTCCCGGTGCCATTCCCGGTGTTCCCGGTGTCATTCCCGGTGTCATTCCCGGTGCCATTCCCGGTGTTCCCGGTGTTATTTCCGGTATTCCCGGTGCCATTCCCGGTGTTCCC